GCTGCTGCTGCTGCTGCTGCTGCTGCTGCTACTGCTGGTGGTGATGCTGGCGTTGCATTACCATGGGAAGCACCATTCGGCCTAGGGATTGCATTCGGGCAGCCATAAAGCGCAGTACCACAGAGCCACCTGACCAAACTCCACGTGGTCAAAATAGCGTCTCTCTGCCCTCGCACACTGCTAGTCTGCAGCAACCCCACCAGCGGCGGCAATGCTCCCCTCTCAACCACCAGCTGCTTCCGCTCCTCAGTGTTCACCAGGCAAAAAATCGCTGCTGCCGCATTTTCCCGGGCAGCCTCGTTGTTTTCTGCCCCCCGAAGAACGTCTACCAACGCCTCCAACCCTCCTTCCGTGAAAATTTCTTTCTGCCCGGCTTCCATCCGGCATATGTTGAAAATTGCCGTGACTGCATGTTCCACAGTCAAAGAGTCAGGAACTCTCATTAGACTGACCAGAAAAGGTATCCCACCTGACCGAATCAGCCTTTCTTTGTTTTCCGGGCAGCCCTTAAGCGCTCGCCTGACACAGTAAACCGCGTCGCGAATCTCCTCCTCCGTACCGCTCGCGACCGCGGATATAAGCGGCCCCAGTTTAAGAGGCTCTACAGTCGGCCGCGCCGCGGGAATGCCGGACGAAAAAGAGCGGGAACCAGGGAGGCCCGATTCGCTTAATCTCTGCGAGCGAGGGGTCGGGATGCCGCCAGCTGACGTGGCGAGCGGGCAGAACGCGTATATATCGCTGTTGTCCACGTGGTGATGACTCGTCACCGATCCGACGGTTCTCATCGTCCCCGCGTTCATCGAGATCGAACGGCTGTACTGGCCCCGCTTGCTGGGCGCGGTGCGCGGGCGGGAGGAGAAGGAGGAGGAGGCGGAGGAGACGGAGAAGGCGGAGGGGGAAGGGGAAGCGCCCATAGGGCTGGGAATGGGGGAGGAGGAGACAGAGGAGTGCTTGGACGAGGCGGCGGAGAGGCGGAGAAAGGTGGCGGAATTTTGCGGCGACTCGGTGGGCGAATGGATGCCGGGAGATCGCTCGGACTCGCCGGATAGATCGTACGCGTTAGAAGCGGGTCCGGATCGCGGACTCGGTAAGTGCAGCTGGAGAACGTCTGGACGATGATGCCGAGGACCCTTAGGAGAGGGTCGCGGAGGGATATTGGCGGCGTCATAGTGTCGCGGACTATCTTTAATCTCCGCGCCTCCTAAGTCGCCGCTGCTGCCTTTGCCGGGAGACTCGGGCGGTGCGGCAGGCATCGCTGCCGGACCTGAAAACGCGTACGGCTGGCGCGGCATTAGAAACGAATTGAGAAATAAAAATGGATTAGAAGACTAAATGATGGCACTAGTCCTCAGTGTCAGACCGTCAGGTCAGATTAGGGTTTCGTTCGCTAAGCTTCAGCGACAGACCCTACGAGTCGAACGCGAAGCCGAACCGAAAATGCGTCGGCAACCAACGGAAGCAGCTTCCTTCCAGAAATAACGACTCTAATGGCGTCCTAGTCCTTCCCACCATCTTATCGCTCCTTGCCGACAGAAACGGGGGGTGCTTGCTTGTGTTGAGACAAGCTGACTAAAAACCCTATCACGAGTCAGTCAGGGCGTGGTGCTTAGGGTGGTACTTTCAGAATTGCGCAACTAGTTGTGGTTTTGGCGAAGTGTTTTGCCCATGCCACAATTTTGTAAAATCGAGCAAAAAGGGTTTACGAGGGACCTTCAAATATTCACGAAATCGTAACAGGTCTTGATTATGTAACCTGGCGGGGTTGCGCAACTTTATGCACCACGCCCCCAGAATCAGTCAGGAGTCCATCAGGTCAGAGGGGGCAGTCCAAGGAGGAGGAAGAGGTGGATTGTTGATGTCTGTGGGGTCACTGGGTGATCCTGGTGACATTTCACGAGGTTAGAGACGTTTCGTGCAATATTACGTGAGACAATATGTTTTATTGTGGTTCAGCGTGGTAGAGAACCTCGTCACGTAGTGGAGACAGTGTACGCGGTTTACGTGCAAAGACGTTTGTCACTTCTGTCAGGTGTTCAGAAATTGCATTCGAGCCACATTATACAATCTGCCAACTATATTATGGGACATTCCTTGTTACGAGTGTTTCACTAGAGTCGCGCGGAATCTAATGTCGAGGTTCAGAATAACAGAATGTGGTACAATGGAATGATGAAGCAAGTTATAGGAACACCAGAGCAATCCTAACCGTGTGATCGAACAGGTTCGAAGAAGGCATCCGAGGACGCGGAGCGCTTCGGAGTGACGCGGAAATGGTTCGGTGTCGTGTTTGTCAGAACTCAGTCACTAACCACTGAGTTAAAAGGGCTTGTTAATAGCGGGTCAGTGTGCCCATAGCCCCCTAGGCTCTGCACCTGTGGCCCTTCCCCGAGGATCTTCTCAAGGGTAACCCTAGCGGGTCACTCGACACCCCCCTCGCTGGGATAGGAGGAAGACACGAGTGCCTCTGCAGCGCTAGCACTGGGAATTGAACCTGAGTCACCAATGCTCTGATACCATGTCAGAACTACGTCACTAACCACTAAGTTAAAAGGGCTTATTAATAGCATGTCAGTGCGCCCATAGCCCCCCAGGCTCTGCACCTGTGGCCCATCCCCGAGGATCTTCTCAAGGGTAACCCCAGTGGGTCACTCGACAGTATTCGGACCGAAGCTAGGGCAGGTGTTTGTTAGAGTAGCGGAAAATTTTGTATAGAATATCGATACATTGCGATTTTGTCGAAGTGGTTGTACTATCCAAGCGTACGCACCTATCTAGCCTAGAGCAACATATAAATATATGTTTGACACACCCCCTAGGCTAGATAAGGGGCAGTTTCGAGCGAGAGACACAAAGCTCAGGGTGGCACTACAAGTCCAACCTCTGAGGCAAGGGTCCGAAGACCAGTCAGCAAGAGTACAAGCTAAAAAAGAGCAACCCAGGGAGGCACTACTAGTCAAGCCACTGGAACAAGAGCCATTCAAGATAAAATAAGCTCAGCCTCATATCTAGACTATGTAGCAGACGACGAGCGGGTGGACCTCCACGAGATGGCGCCTGCGCCAAGGCTAAAGCAGTAAGCCTTGGGAGGACCTGAGCGTCTCAGCGCCGTCCGCCCACGAAGCGTCTGTGTGCCCTTTAAGGACCACTGGCCTGCGTCCTCCTAGCACTAGCCCCATGCCCGATGTACTTGCTAGATAACGAAAAACTATCCTAGCGGTCGTCCACTGCTGTGGTCGGTGCCTGCCTATGGCCAAAAAGCGAGCCAGGATGCTGAGAGGGTATGCGAGATCTGGACGAGTGCAAGTCATCAGGTACATGAGGCAACCCACCAGCTCTGTGTAAGGACAACTAGGCTCTACATACTCCCCAGGGACTGGAGCCGAGAGCCTTTCATCTACTGGCAGAGGTGTGGGCTGTGCGGAAGAGAACTGAGGGCCGAACCTTTGAAGGACCTAGCGCACCAAGTGTGACTTGGTAAGAGTGACGGTGCGCGTTGCTCTGTCCCTGGAGATCTGCAGGCCAATGTAGCGGCACAGCTCTCCTCGGTCAGTGCAGGTGTGTTTCCTCAACAACTCAGCCTTCACGGAGGTCAGCGCGTCTCTGTCTGCAGTAGCGAAGACCATGTCGTCTACATAGACAAGGATGTAGAACGGGGTCTGGCAAGCACGAACGAAGAGCGAGGGGCCTGCAGACGACGCGAAAAACTGCAAGTCAGCTAACGTAGCATGCAGCGTGTCATGCCACTCATAGGGTGCCTGCCGCAGGCCGTAAACCAGGCGCCAGAAGGTCCCCAGGGCGAAGGTGCCGGTGAAGCGTGGCGGACGATGCATGTAGAACTGCTCATGCAGACTGCCATCGAGAAATGCTGTCGAGAAGTCGAGAGAGTGGTGGTCATAGTCACGCAGTGCTGCTATGTAAAATAGCGCCCGAAGAGTGGTCATCTTCAGGGTCGGGGCGAAGGTCTGAAAGAAGTCAACACCCCCACGCTGACTGAAGCCTCTAGCAACGTAGCGCGCCTTAAATATCGGTGACTCTCCAGGAGGGCACTTCACTTTGAGGAGCCACCGACCATCGACAACTTTCACCCGAGGTGGGGGAACTGCGTAGATGAAGGTGCAGGTGGATCTCTAAGATGCCATCTCCACGTCCATGGCAGCTATTCACTGAGAGGCCCAGAGTCCCCAGGTCACCTCAGCGTAAGTGTGAGGGGTCGGGATGTCAAAAGCGTCTGGGTCCCCCTCACGGACTAGTAGCATGGAGCAGAGATGAGGCGCAGCCTCGGACAGGAAAGCTAGCTCGAACTGCCTGTCCTCTAGGACGTCAGTGCCAAGGGCAGGTGCACCCCCAAAGGACGGAGGAGGGGCGGGGTCAGAGACCAGAGCGGCGGCGTAGTCAAGGCGGCGGGTAGCGGAAATATCTGTAACAGCAGCGACAAGAGCGTTAAGACTAGAGAGAGGAACAGACGGGTCGGTAACCAGAGAGGCAAGGACTCGAAGAAAAAGAGGACTAGCGGCACGGAGGAAGTCAGACAAGGGAGGCAGAGCGACATCCAACGACGACGGAGGAGGCGACGTGAGGAGGGGAGGCGCAGACTGGCAGTCTGGGGAGGGAAGACCGAGGAGGCGAAGGGCAGACACCGGCGGCGACTGCTGCTGCTGCTGCTCCACGCCAACACCCCCAGAGGGAGAACCCTCTTAAGCACCGGTGCCACCCCTAGGACCATTGGGACGAGCCACAACAGTAACCCCAGGACTAGCACCCTCCTCAACGCCCGCACCCTCAGAGCTCACGGACCCCTGCGGCGGCTGCTGCGGCGGCGACGGGGACGGCTGTTGCGGCTGCGGCGGGGATGGCGGCGGCTGCAGCGGCGGCAGAGGAGGGGACACCAGGGCAGAGACAGGCATCGACACCGAAGCCGCCGGGCCCTCAGAGTCAGCCGACTCCTCGACCGGGACAACCGACGGGAGGGGAGTGACGTGAGACATACCAGGCGGGGCAGGACAGGGAGGAAGAGGAGCAAGGGCTACTAGGGGAGTGGGGACCAGGAACAGGGGCAAAGTAATTGGGAGGCTTCGTTGGGGAAAGCGGGTGTCGAAAGAGACAGACTCGTCAAAAGTGACGTCGCGGGAGTGAAAGAAACGGTGAGACGGCGGGTGATAAAAGTGACAGTCAAACGCGTCGAGAGGCAAACCAAGGAAGACACAAGGGACGGTATGGGCAGTGAGCTTGTCCATGCCAGATGCATGAACGTGAGCAAGGCATCCCCAGACGTGGAACGCAAATGCGCCACCATGGAACCCGGTCCAGAGAAGGTTCGGCGAAACCTACGGCTGCTAGGAGTGTGACCACATGTTAAGTTGGCGAGCAGCGTAGTGAACCACGAACGACCACAAAAAATGAGGTGCACCAGCATGGATCATTCTGTTGTGGGGAGTCTGGCAGGGTCTACGACTGGGTGATGCCCTCCCCACGACAGAATTGGCCAAGCCGATCGGAGGCAAAATCGCTGCCATGGTCGGAGTAGAGACGCAGCACAGGGAGGCCACGGTGGACTCGCACAGCTACGACCCACGAGATAAGGGCGTCAGACACGTCGGCCATCCGCTCTAGGGGGAACACCGTGGTGTAGCGCGTGAAGTCGTTGACAAGCACTAGAAAGTAGCACTCGCGACGCGGCCCAGGGACGGGGGCGGGGTCCTAAATGCCCAGGTGCAGGGTCTGGAGTGGCTTAGAGGTAGGGGGGAGCGAGGAGTACTGGGGAGCACGGCGCAGCCGACCCTCGACATAGGGCGTGCATGGCGGCGCAGGCGAGGGAGGGAGGGCAAGGAGCAACGCAGGGAGACCACAGACAAGCCTCTGATGGGACATGTAACACAGACGTGGAAGAGCGGGGTGACATAGGTAGTGGTGCCACAAAAGTGAAGGGTGAGTGAGCTTCCGACACGAGCAGGCTGCCGCTACCTGAGTGGACGCGACGATATGGGGGGACGCTCCCACCGAAGGGGACGCTTCCACCGAAGGTGCTTGGGGTCCGATCCCAAAGTTTGTGCATGGTCGTGATGAAATCATGAGCGGGTTGGACTGTGGCTGGTATGGTTGACTGTTGAGGTGTGAGTGGGTGGCGTCCGTAACAGAGGAAGAACGGCGTCTGTCCAGTAGCGGCGTAAGTAGCATTGTTGTAGGCAAACTCCAGGATGGGCAGATGCAAGTCCCATTGGGAGATGTCGTCCTTGCAGGCTGCACGGAGGAGTTGCTCCACAATTTGGTTGAGGCGCTCGGTCTGTCCATCTGTCTGCGGATGGTAAGCGGATGACATGGCGAGTTTGGTCTCGAGCAGAGACATAAGTTCTTCCCAGAATTTACTGGTGAGCTTAGGGTCTCGGTCGGAGATGAGTGTGGTCGGAATGCCATGTTGTGAGATGATGTAGCGAACAACAAATTGTGCACGAGGAAGAGGCTGTAGCAGACCCGCCTTTTTCTGCTTGCTGCGCTTCATCCGCTGACATGTAGTGCACGAGGTGACGAATTCCTGTACGGCATCTGCCATGTGGGGCCAGTAGTAGTGTTTGGCGATACCGGTGAGCGTCTTGTTGCAACCGAAGTGTCCCGCGTATAGGACGTCGTGGTATTCTTCGAGTAGTAACTGGCGCAATGGAGGGTAATTAGGTACCCAGATCTTCATTGATCCTTTTCGGTACGCGATGTCGTTGTCCCACTGTAGCAGATGTTGCTTTTCAGCCAAGGGAATTTCTGGGTCGATGGTATACCCGTGTATGAAGAGTCCCTTGAGGAGTGGATTCATCCCTTCAACTTGGATAGCGTCAACGTGTGCAGGCCGGCTAAGCGCATCTGCTTTATTTTTGCGGCCGGGCTTGTACACGATGTCGTAGTGGAAGTGTGTCTCGAGGAAGTCAATCCACCGGACCTCCCGCCTGGAGAGGCTTGGTTGCGTCTTCAAATATTTAAGGCTGCAATGGTCGTTGTAAACTGTCGTCTTGCGCCCTTCGAGATAACATCTCCACGTTTTGAAGGCGATTATGATAGCAAGGGCCTCCTTGTCGTGTATCGGGTAGTTGAGTTCTGCTCCATGTAATTTTTTGCTGAGGTTGGCGATTGGTTGCAGGCCATTCCCTTGGTCTTGCATCAAGACTGCTCCCACTGCCTGGTCGCTGGCGTCAGCTTCGATAACATAGTCGCGTTCGGGGTCTGGCAAGATGAGTACGGGTGCGGACGTGAGTGCTTGTTTCAGCTGCTCCACGGCTTCCTGGTGTTGTAGCTCCCATTTATAGGGCGTGTTCTTCTTTTGCAGATTCGTGAGTGGCGCGGCGATCTTCGCGTATTGTGGCACGAACCTGTTGTAGTAGTTAGCAAAGCCAAGGAACTGCTGTAACTCCTTCACGTTCTCGGGTGTCTTCCACGTACGCACGGCTTCGATTTTCTTGGGGTCGACGTGAACTCCTTGAACGCTTACAATATGTCCAAGGAATTGGACCTTCTCGAGGGCGAAGTTGCTCTTGGATAATTTGACGTAGAAGCGTTCTCGTCGAAGAATTTCGAAGACGCGTCGTAGGTGCTCGACGTATTGTTGCATGTTGCGCGAGTAGATGAGGATGTCGTCCAGGTACACCACCACGCATTCGTCCAAGAGTGGGCGTAGGGTATGATTCATCTCTGCTTGGAAAGTTGCAGGTGCGTTGGTGAGTCCGAACGGCATGCCCAAATACTCGTACGATCCGTACCGAGTTCGGAAAGCAGTCTTGTGAACAGAATCGTCCGCCATTCTTATGTGCCAGTATCCGGACCGCAGATCTAGTTTTGAAAATACAGTAGCTCCCCGAAGCTGGTCAAGCAGGTCATCGATTCGTGGTATTGGATATTTGTTCTTGATGGTCTGCTTGTTGAGAGCTCGGTAGTCGATGCACATGCGCAGGCTTCCGTCCGGTTTCGGTGTGAAGAGCACTGGGGCACCGTATGGCGAAGTGGATGGTCGGATGAGTCCTTTGGCGAGGAGATACTCGATCTGCTTCTTCATGTCGGCTAGTTTTGTGGGGCTTAGCCGATATGGTGCTCGGAAGGTCGGTTTCGAACCTGGTTCCTCCACGATCTTGTGTTGGTGCGTTTGGTATGGCGGTAGTTCGTCCGGGAGGTCGTCGGGAAGAATGTCTTGGAACTCCTTCAGCAAGTCCTTGATTTTTTCTGGAGGTTCCGAGACTTTCTCTCCGTCATTCTCCACGTCTTTTGCTATCGCCAGGAACCCGGTGTCGGTTCGTTTCACGTCCTTCTCGAATCTGGCGAGTGTCTCCACTGGGATATCTCCTATATCGTCCCAGTTGGGTAGCTGGACTCTCCTTCCTTTGTTGTAGATGCTTGCGGTGCGGTCTACCCAGTTGATCTCGGGGTTGAACTTCTTGAGGAAGTCTCGCCCGAAGATCAAGTCAAGCCCTTTTATGTTGGTGATGGGGAGAGCAGGTTTCCAGCGCAGTGGACCGATTTGTAGGTGTAGCACTGCTTCGCCGTACACTGGTAACTTGCTGCCGTCCACCATCGTTGCAGAAAATGCAGATGGCTTGTACTCTTCTCGAAGTCGGTCGATGGTTGCCTTGTCGCATACAGTGTGCGATGCTCCGCTGTCCACGAGTGCTTGGAGGCGTCGTCCTTTGCAGATGACCTCGAGCACGAAGGGCAGGCGTTGCTCAGAGTACCCAAAGATAGTTTCATTGATTGGGTCGTAGGGTACGTCTCAATATTCGATGCTTCCTACTCCTGATCTGGCAGCTGGCCGAGGCTGCTTGGAGAAAGGTTCTTCTCCAGGGCCCGGAGTTTCCGTGACGACTGTTCGTGTCGTTGACAAAGTTGCCGAGTTGGATGCATCCGAAGAAGAAGGAGTTCGGGGTTTTTGCAGCTTCTTGTAGACCCCCAGCTTCCTTTTGAGCTGCTTCAGCTCCACCGACGTCTTCCCTGGGGAACGGGTAGTCGCTATGGGCTGGTGTCGGGAGAGGACGTTGACTCCGTGGAAAGGTCAGCTTCTTTCCATACTCCTTAATTTGGTCCCCAAGTTCTCCGGTACCGGTACAATCTCCACAATTTTATGCTTCTTCTGGAGTCCTTCCCGAAATTTCTCCAAGGCTCTAGTCCCTCGAGAATTACAAGTTTTCATTAAAGCATCTTTGTAAGATAAATTTAACGAGTCCTTATAATTTCTTGGGTCTTCAAGGAGTTTCCCCAACTTGGTAGAGTCCTTTTTCGCGGAGTTAGATTTTTCCTCGGCGATTTCCTCTGGCAAAGACTGGTCGTGGGGTGGAGATTTCCCCCCATCATTTTCTCCTGTTCGCGTCGAATCAGCTGCGTCGAAGTTGATTTTTCCGGAAGTCCGCGGCCTTTTTCAGATCTTTTCTTTTTCGCCAGCTAGATCCGCAATCACTGGCGAGTCCCGTTTTTTGGCTTCTGATCGGCCGAAGGATTTCCGCCACTGTTGCGTGCCCGATACTCAGCGCGTGCGGCTTTCATTTTGTTGCAGTCAAAGATTCGATGACCCGGAACCCCGCAAAAATCACACGTGTAGTTGGTGCTTTTCGGACGTGGCTGCCCTTTGAACCTGTCGACTTCCATCGGGTCGGCGAACGTGGTGTGTGCCGAGCGGTCGCCCTGTCGCATACTGCCGACGTGCGTCCGTCGTGCCCCGGCGTTGACCATGTCGAAGCGTTCAGCGGCCGATACGACGTCACTGTAGCTCGCGTAGTTTGTTGCTACCACTTGTCGTTTGACTTCTGTCTTTAGCCCGGCGAGGTACAATTGTACTTTTTCCCCTTCGGTCAGGTCGGGAATGCGGTTATAAAATTCCTCCATCTGCTGCGTGTACTGCGCTACACTCCCAAACTATCGATGACGATGATTTTTTTTGCGGGCAAGGAAACTCGAATTTATCGGCTCGAAACGTTTCAGCAGGTCGATGCGGAACGGCTGCCACGTGGCTTCGCCGTGGATGAACGTGCTGTTACCGCCGGTCCACTCGAGTGCCGGCCCTCGCATCAGTGCCACCGCGAGTCGTACGCCTTGACCGTCCAAGGCTGGCGATCTCCATCCGACGGCTGCGAAGTAGATCTCCATGCCGGCGATCCATCTGCGGACGTCGAAGTTTCAATCGCTCGGATCGAACGGCTCAGGTGGGCGCGGTTTTGGAGCCTCGGGAAACTACTGCGACTTATGCATTTTCGCCGTTGTCGTTTCGTGTTGCGCTCCGGCGAGTCGCGTTACTCGCTCGAACTCGTTTCGCCAAGCTTCGCGGTCGGCTCGCATCTCCTCCTCTAGGGCTGCGATGTGCGCAAAGAGCTGCTGGGTAACTTCGGCGTTGTCAAAGTTTGCCATGCTGCTGATAACACGCGTGGGGGGGGGGGGGGGGGGGGGGGGGGTAATTCGAAAAAACGCGGAGCTGGTGCTTACCAGGATCGGCGTCGAATTGGTCGCCCCCGGCGGTTTTTCGAGGCAGGAGTCCCGCTGCTGCTGCTTAGCTGAGCGCGGTCGAGTGAGAAAAGCTCTGATTACCAAGTGTCACAGGATCGAATGTCTCGAGGAAAGGTTGCACAATCGATCAGTACAAGGCGCTTTTATACTTCCAAAGTACATCAGGTAACCAGGTTTATCTTATCCTAAGGGAATAGACCCTTCTAGAAAATAGAATCACCCTGCGTATAGCCACGCGAGGCTATTGGCTTTAAGGGATTACGGCAGGATTACGCTAGATAGAGCGCACCAGTACATCCCGAGCCTGGTCGGTGATATAATCATAATAACAGGATAAACCAAAGGTTTATGGAAAAGGAAAAATAGGAATCCAAATGGAATGAGATAAAACCCAAATGGATCAAGATAGAAAGAGGAATGAAATGGAAAGGAGAAAGGTATGGAACGGGGTCGTACTCTCACAAGGGCCACCAGGCCACCACGGCGGCGGGGGTCCCCACGGCGGCTGGTGCTGCTGTTGAGGCTGCTGCTGAGGTTGCGGCTGCTGCTGCCGGTCCAGGGCATCAGCCCCGGTCCCCTCGTCTAAACCACCATCCCCGCCCCCACCTCCGCCACCCCCACCACCCTTCACTCCGCCACGCCCCCCCTTGGGGGGACAGCCCCTACCCTGATGTGGCTACGCTGAGACCGCGGCGACGGTTTCAGTAGCAGGGGCTGTCTCAGCTACAGCGGCAGAAATGTCAGAATATGTGCTCTGGAAGGGAGCACAGCCCTGGAAGATAGGGACCGGTGCAGTACCACTAGACTGAGCGATAGTGCGCTGGCGGTTCTCTATTGCGGACAGGGCAATGACAAAGGGAGGAAGGGTGAGGTCACCTGGGTGCTAACTGAGGAAGTGGTCACGGGCAGTGGCTAGGCAGTTGGGCAGGTGCGTGGCAATGAGGTAAAGGGTAGCGCAGAGTAGCGGCAGGAAGGCAGTGAGCTGTGCCTTAGTGCTAGCGGCGTGGTAGATAGCCTCTAGAGTGCGGAGGTGCGTGGCAAGGTCAATGACAGTGGCGAAGGTTGCAAGGTCAGGGAACACCATTGGGAGGATGAGGCGTCTGGCAGAAGCTGAGGCGGGGGTCGAATAACGTGCGATGACTGCATCTAGGAATTCCCTGGCGTTTGCTACAGTGGTAAAGCGGGGACACTCAGACAGGGGGAGGGCGTAACTAATAGCAATTTGCGCGACAGCGTCGCACGACTCCCGAGCAACGCGAGGAAGCGCAGCAGCGGAAAAGGCCTCACGTGCAGCAGTGGTCGGGGCGTCAGGGAGGGCAGCAGGCGGGGGGGGGGGGGGGGCGGGGGAGCGTACCATCGACATAAACAGCCAGGGAGTAATCGTCCTGGCGCTGCCCTATCAGGTGATGGCAAAGGTCGACGAGCCATGCCTCAAAGTCGATCGCCCGGCCCTCCGCATCAATGAGGAGCACAGCGCCCGCCATCCCACGTCCTCAGCTGCTGACGGCGGCACGGCGACACGGCGGCACGGTGGCACTGCGACACGGCGACACGGCGGCACGGTGGCATGGCGACATGTCGCCACGGCACCAGGGTGGCACGGCGACACAGCGGCACTGCTACAGGGGCAGCCGGGATAGGGGCTGCAGTGGGAGCCGGTGGCAGCGGCGGCTGCTAGCTAGCAGCGGGGTGGTGACGGTGGTGGGCCAGCAGCGAGCTGGCTAGCGGCAGCAGCTTTGGAAGCTGGCTAGCGGAGGCGGCTGCTTAGCGACGGGCGAGCCGCGGCAGTGGTGGCAGCAGCGGCTGCAGTGCCAGTGGCTGCTGGCAGCAAGAGCAGCAGCAGTGGTGGCTGCAGCGGCAGTGGCAACTGCAAGAGGCAGCGCGGAAGCTGCAAGGGCAGCGGCAGCAGAGATGGCTGGAATGGCAGCGGCGGCTGCAAGGGAAGCGGTGACAGCGGTGGCTGCAAGAGCAGCGGCGGCAGCAGCAGCTGCAAGGGGAGCGGCGGCAGCGGTGGCTGCAAGGGCAGCAGATGCAGCGGCAGTGGCGGTAGTGGCAGTGGCAGCAGCAGCTGCGACAGTGGCAGCAGCGGCAGTGCAAGTGGCTGCAGCGGCAGTGGCTGCAGGAGCTGCGGCAGTGGCAGAAGCTGCAGAGCAAGTGGCAGCAGTGGCAGTGGCAGTTGCTGCAGTGGCAGCGGTAGTGGTTGCAGCGGAGAGGCAGGAGTGGCGGCTACAGCAGCGGCAGTGGCAGCGGCTGCAGTGGTGGGCGTGGCGGCTGCAGTGGCAGTGGCGGCTGCAGTGGCAGCGGCTGACTGTGGCTGTAGCGTCAGTAGCAGTCGCAGTGGCAAGCTGGCCAGCGACGAGTTGGTAGGCGCCGCGGACGACTAGCTGCTCGTGGCGAGTTGGCGGAAGCTGTTGGCAGCTAGTTGGCTGGCACTGCTGGCGACTAGCTGCTGGCAGTGAGCTGGCGGAAGCTGCTGGCAGCAAGCTGGCTGGTGCTGCTGGCGCCTGGCTAGCACCGCTGGCGGCGAGCTGGCTAAGGCTGCTGGCTAGTGAGCTGGCTAATGGGCTGGCTAGCTAACTGGAACGTTGGCTGGCGAGCTTGCTAGCGTGCTGGATGGCGTGCCGGCCTGCTGACTACCGCACGCAAAAAAATCGAACGCTAGAGGGCAGGGGGGTGCGCGAAATGGATGAGTGTCACATGCGCGAAAAAAAAGAAGCTATAGTAATGGCGGAAGCATGAGTAGCTGTGGAAAAACACCTAACCTAGCTCAATACCATGTTAGAGTAGCGGGGAAAGTTGTATAGAATGTTGATACATGGTGATTTTGTCTAATATGCGTTTTACTGTGTTGGTGCTGTGTGGGGTTGGGGTACGGGTTAGCGGTGTGGCGCGCTAAGGAATGGAGAATTCTTCACACTACCCCCCTCTAGCGAAGGTGGTCTATATTTGCGACGTGCTTGCGGAATAAATAATCCCAGCCTAGAGTACAGTAGGTGATTGTACTTGTACCAAGGGAACCCACAAATCGTCCTCGCCGGTACAATGAGTCCATCGTATCAGAAAGACAATGTGTCGTTCCTAACCGTTGATTCTTACATGATGGGTTGATGAGCGTCTCCTCGGCTGGCCGTAAATCCTGGGCGATCGGCTGTCGGGCGACGTTTGACGTGTCGGCAACAAAAGGACGAAGGAGGCTGACATGGAAGGAATTATGAAAGTTCCAATTGTTGGGAAGGCAGAGTTGGGCAGTCACTGGCGTTTTCATCTTGATGTCTTGAAAGGTCCATAGCAGCGGGGTCGAAGTTTTGACGGATCTGCAGGCGAAGGTTTTTGGTGTTAAGGAGGACTAATTTCCCTGCAGACAAGGTAATATCTCGTCTGTGGCGGTCGGCATATAGGCGGGAAATACATTGGCTTTTTGGATGAATTTGATGGCTTTCGTGTGGGCAGTTTGAAGGTCTTCGACGAACTGCTGCGAGCGGGGGACTTGACTTTCGACGTTGGTAGAAATGGGTACTGTCGGATCCATCCCGTAATTCAGGAAAAAGGGCGAATGATTGGTCATGGTGGAGGGTGCATTGTTGTAGGAAAACTCGAGAGCATGGTTAGCGTATCTTCCCATTTATTGATATCCGGTCAGTTCGTGCGAATGAACTGCTCCATGGTCTGATTCGTCCGTTCTGTCTGACCGTTGGGTTGCGGGTGATAGGCAGGTGAGAACTGTAGGCGGGTGCCACATCGGTTCCACGTGTCTTGCCAGAAGCGCGAGGCGAATTTCGGATCTCTGTCGCTGATGATCGCCGCAGGGATACCATGCAGGCGAACGACGACCGAGATGAATAGACGCGCGGTTTCTTCGGCTGTGATCATCGTGCGACATGGCGCAAAATGAGTCATTTTTGTGAGGCGGTCGACGGCAACAAGAACCGCGTCATTTCCACTTGGTCCAGCCGGCAGGCCGGTGACAAAATCCATTGTCACGTGTTGCCAAGGTCGCTGGGTTGGCTCGAGAGGCTCCAACAGTTCTGCTGACCACTGGCGTGATGATTTCATCGTCTGGTAGGTCAGACATGCACCAACGTACTTGTGCACGTCCAAAATCATGTCTGGCCAGTAATAGAACCGCTGCAGTGCCTTCAGAGTCTTGTCAACCCCAAAAATGTCCCGATAAGTTCGAATCGTGGACTTCCGTTCCTGCTTTTACGTAATAGGCTCCCCGCACGGTAAGAGACCGTGACCTGCTGATTGTTGTTGTTTACGAATAAGGGATCGGTCGAATATCCATGGGTAAATAATCCACTCAGCAACGGGTTCGTCTGGGCGATTAGCACAGCGACGGTTTGGGCAGATGGTCGGGAGAGTTTGTCAGCAATGTGTTGGCACCCTTCTTGTACGTGATTCGATACGTGAAGTTTGACTCCAGATAATCCAACCAACGAATCTGTCGCAGGTTGAGATTCGGTTGCGCTCGCAAGTATTGTAGGGATTTGTGATCTGTTCGTACAGTCACGTCGGCTCCTGTCAGGTAGCATCGCCAGATCTTGAACGCGTGCACGATCGCCGTCATTTCTTTGTCGTGCACAGGATAATTTTTCTCCTCTGATTGGAACTTTCATGACTCGTACGCAATTGGCTGAAGGCCGTCGCCAAAATCCAGTAGCAGAACCGCTCTGATTGCGATGTCACTTGCGTCTGACACGACCTTGAATGGTTATTCTGGGTTAGCAATCCGAAGTACCGGTGGCGAGATTAAAAATATGGTTTAATCCGTCAAACACGGCTTGCTGCTTCTCCCCCCACTGATAATCAGCGCCCTTATGAACTAGGTCAGTTAGTGCCCCAGTTAACCCCACCATGCTGGGTATAAACCGGCGCACGTAAATGACGAACCTAAAAACGATTGCAGCTCCAAGAGGTTGGTCGGCGGCTTCCATTCCTGAATTGCCCGAATTTTGCGGGGGTCAATTTTCACGCCTTCCGTCAAAATAAGTGCCCCAAAAACTCCAGTTCGGGTTTTAAAAACTCGCACTTAGAGGTGATGAGACGATTCTGCTGCAAGCGCTGAAAAACTGCTTCCAGGTCCTTTGAGTGCTGCTCCCGTGTCGTGTTGTAAATCGCGATGTCATCCAGATAAATGATCACACATTTACCGAGCAGATCTCGAAATACCCCGTTCATCGTCAACTAGAACGTCGAAGGGGGAGAATGGCCACGAAGAGTAGTCATCTTCGGGATAGGGGAGAAGGTCTGGAAGAAGTCCAAACCCTCTCGCTGAGTGAAGCCTCTAGCCATGTGACGGGCCTTAAACTTCCCGGCTCTCCAGGTGCGCGCTTCACCCTGGAGATCCATATGTCATCGACTACGGTCGCCCCAGGCGAGGGAACTACGTCGACGTAAGTGCCTGTGGATTTGTAGGATACCATCTCAACCTCCATGGCCTGTATCCTCTGGGCTGCCCAAGGCCCCGACACCGCCTCAGCGTAAGAGCGCGGGACAGGGATGTTGAGGGCATCTGGGTCGCCCTCTCGGGATACAAGCATGGAGCAGAGATGGGGTACAGCGACAGCAAGGTAGGCCAACTCGTATTGCTTGTCCTCTAGTACATCCCTGCCAAGGGCATGCGCACCCCCAACGGACGGAGGTCTGGCAGTACCGGAGACCAAAGTGGCAGCATAGTCAAGGCGGTGGTTAACAGCGAAGTCAGCGATAGTAACAACACGTGCAGAGGCAGACTCAGGAGGAGCAGTAGGGTCAGTGACAAGCGACACAAGCAAACGCAAGAGGACTGGACGAGTAGTGCGACCAGAGTCAGAGGCAGGAGAAGGGGACGTCCGGAGCGACGACTGGGGAGGTAACAGAAGGACTGGGACTGGAGGAGCACACGAACGAAGTACCATAGGTAGGGCATTAGGACGAGGAGAGACAGGACGAGCACCAGAGGGACGACTGACCTAGTAGAGAAAAAACTGGGACTTGGAACGAGGGGGGAAGGGAGACAGGTCAGGGGACGGAAGAGAGCACAGGGAAAACGATTCGGAGAGGAGTCTGGGGGAGGGAACAACGTGCCGTCCACAGGGTCAAGCTAACCAGAGGAGAGACCAAGGAGACGAAGGGCAAACTGCGGCTGTTCCTGCTGCTCTCCTGGGTCAGTGCAGATGTGTCTCCTCAGCAGCTCAAACTTCACGGATATAGAACAGGGTCTGGCCAGCATGAACGAAGAGCGAGGGGTCATCTAGCTTAGTACGCAGAGTGTCGTGCCACTCACGAGGCGCCTATCAAAGGCCGTAGACCAGGCACCGGAGGAGCCACTGGGTCCCACGAGGGAAGGTACCGGTGAAGCCCTGTGGACGACGCAAGTAGACCTGCTCGTGTAGGCTGCCCTGAAGAAAAGTTGTGGAGGAGTCGAAGGAGTAGAGCTCGTAGTCACGCTGTGCTGCTACGTGTAGCAGCGCCCGAAGAGTAGTCATCAGGTCGGCGCGAAGGTCTGAAAGAAGTCCACACCCTCACGCTGACTAAAGCCTCTAGCCATGTGGCGCGCCTTGAACACCGGCGGCTCTCTAGGGGGGCGCTTCACTTTGAAGAGCCACTGGCCATCGACTACGTTCAACCCAGGCAGGGGAACTGCGTCGATGTAGGTGTCGGTGGATCTCCAAGATGCCATCTCCTGCTCAATGGCAGCTATCCACTGAGAGGCCCAGGGTCCTGAGGTCGCCTCAACGTAAGTGCGAGGGGTCAGGATGTCAAAGGCGTCTGGGTCACCCTCAGGGACTAGCAGCATGGAACAGAGATGGGGAGAGGCCTCAAACAGGAAAGCAAGCTCGTAGTGCCTGTCCTCTAGAACGTCACTGCCAAGAGCAGGAGCACCCCCGACGGACGGAGGACACACAAGGTCAGAGACCAGAGCGGTGGCGCAGTCAAGGCGGCGGGTAGAGGCGAAGTCAGCGACAGCAGCGACAAGAGCCTCAAGATTGGAGACAGGTACAGACGGGTCAGTAACGAGGGAGGCAAGGATCTAAGGAAGAAGAGGACGAGCAGCATGAAGGTAGTCAGACTGAGGAGGTGGCGCAAAAACGAGCGACGACAGAGGAGGCAAAGGTAGGAGGGGAGGACGAAACGCATGGGAACGAAGCAATATAGGGTGACAACGCTGAATAGGAGAGACACGACGAGCACGAGAGAGACGGCGAGACCAGAAGTGGGACGGAGGCATCGGGTCAGGAGACACAGGAGGAGTAACAGGAGGGGAACAAGGGGGAAAACAAGTCGGGGACGAGTCCAGCGGAGGAAACACATGGCCGTAGACAGCAAGGGGAGGAGGGGGCGGGGGAGGCGCAGGCGAGCGGTTAGGGGAGACAAGGCCGAGCAGGCAAAGAGCGGACACCGGAGGCGATTGCTGCTGCTGCTGCTCGACGCCGACACCTAGACCGCCAGCTGTACCTCCGGAACAATCCATTCCAGCACCCCCGGAACGAGCACCCCCAGAGCGAGAACCCTCTCCAGCACCAGTGCCACCCCCAGGCCCACCTTGACAAGCCATGACAGGAACTCCAGGACTAGCACCCTCCTAAACGCCAACACCCCCAGAGTCCACGGACGGCTGCTGCTGCTGCAGCGGGGCCGGCTGTTGCAGCTGCTGCTGCGACGACGGCTACGGCTGCTGCTGCAGCGGCGACTGCGGCGGCTGCTGCAACAGCAGAGGAGGAGATACTGGGGGAGAGACAGGCGGCAAGAACGGCGCCGCGGGGCCACCAGAGTCAGCCGACTCCTCTACCGGGACAATCGACAGGAGGGGAGTAACGTGAGACACACCAGACGGAGCAGGACGGGGAGCGAGGGGAGCAGGGGCTACTGGGGGAAAGGGAACCAGAAACACGGGAGGGGAAACCGGGAGACCTCGGTAGGGAAAGCGGTTGTAAAAGGAGACAAACTCATCCAAAGTGGCGTCATGGGAGTGAAAGAAGGGGTGAGACAGCAGGTGGTAAAAGTGCCAGTCAGACGAGTCAAGGGGGAAACCAAGGAAAACACAGGGACAGTTCACGCAGTGAGCTTGTCCGTGCTAGAGGCACGAACGTGAGCGAGGCAGCCCCAAACGTGGAACGCGGACGCGTCACCAGGGAACCCCGTCCAAAGAAGGGTCATTGAAACCTGTGGCCGCTGGGAGTGCGGCCACAGGTTAAGCTGGTGAGCGGCGTAGCGAACGGCGAACGGCCACAGAAAACAGGGTCTATCAGCATGGATCCTGGAGGTACGAGCCACCTCCATGACCAAACCGATGCGTCGCGCAGCGACCCCATTCTGTTGCGGGGAGTCCGGTAGGGTGTACGACTGTGTGATGCCCTCGGCACGACAGAACTGTCCAAGTCGACCAGAGGCGAACTCGCCGCCACGGTCGAAATGGAGACACAGCCCAAGGAGAGCGCGGTGGAGGTGCGCGGTTACGACCCACAGGATAAGAACGTCAGGCACGTCAGCCTTCCGCTCCAGGGGAAAAACCGTGGTGTAGCGCGTGTAGTCGTCGACGAACACGAGATAGTAGTGCTCGCGATGCGGCCCAGGGATTGGGGCTGGGCCCCAGACGTCCAAGTGTAGGGTCTGGAGTGGCGCGGTGGCAGGGCGAAGCAAGGAAGAGTGAGGAGCACGGTACAGCCGGCCCTCAACGCAGGGCGTGCATGGCAGTGCAGGCAAGGGAGGCAGGGCAGTGAGCGACGCAGGGAGACCTAGGACGAGACCGTGCTGAGATGTGTGACGCAGACGCGGGAGTGCGGGGTGACCTAGGCGGTGGTGCCACAGAAGCAACGGGTGAGTGAGCGACTGACACAAGCAAGTCGCAGCGACCTGGTTAGACGTAGGACCCAGAGAGGACGCGCCGACCGGGGAGGAAGCATTGTCCAGCGTAAACAGGCCAGACATCGGGTCCTGGGGGAACGTCACAAGGGGGGCGCCTGAGGCGGCCTCGGTACAGACAGCGTACCGCTCGTGACTAGGGAACTTAGTGGTGAGGCCGAGGTCCTGAAGACATCTGACACCAACTAGATTCTTGGAAAACGAAGGGATGTGCAGGCCTGTAAGAGAACCTGAGGGAACCGCTGGACAGGGAAGGGTAGTGTAGCTACGGGCAACAACAGGACCAGAGGAGGGGTCTGCAAGTGCGACAGTGGCAGGCGCTGCAAGCGGCATGAGTGCTGCGTGGTCGCGGAAGAAGCAGGCAGACGCACCAGAGTCAAGGGTAAAGGACAGCGAAGCAGAAGCTGTGGCCGGAGGAGGAGCGAGTAAGACAGGTAGGCTAGACAAGACAGAAGGTCCTACGCCTGACGCAGCTAGGGAGTCTGTACTACACACAGGTACTACACCTAAACAAGACAGAAGGTCCTACGCCTGACGCAGCAGGGGAGTGTGTACTACACACAGGAACTACACCTAGACTAGATAACTCGAGGTAATAAGATCTGGGCACACTAGAAGCATCAGCACATAAAGAATGCAGGGCATAACAAATTTGATCCATGTCTATCTCAAAAATAGGCACACCGTGGTGCAACAAACTAGGCCAGTCAGGGAGGTCCGAGGCCGGGCCGAAGCGGCGACGAAAGAGGTCGTTGAGGCAGTGGAAGCAGCGGGCGGTCGGGTGCGGGCGACGACACACAGTGCCTCGGAGGGGGCCGGTCTGGAGCTGGTACTGGTAGCTCACAGCACCAAAGCTGCCGACCGACGCCGAGCTGCGAGGGCCACCACCGCGGCCACCACCTCTAGAGGCTCCTAGCCACCCCGGCGGGAGGCGGGCCCACGACTGTTGCTGCTGCTGCTGCTACTGCTGATGCTGCGGTTGCTGCTGCGACGGCGGCTGATGCGGCGGCTGCGGCTGCTGGTGCTCCTGGGCACTAGCCCCGATCCCCTCGCCAGACCCATTGTCCCTGCCACCACCACCACCACCACCACCACCACCCCCACCACCCCAACCACCCCCGACACCACGCCCCCCCTTGGGGCCATGACGGCCCTGACGCGGGCACGGCTGCGGTGATGCCGCAGCTGCAGTCTCAGCGACAGGGGCAGTCGCAGTGACCGCGGCTGAAACGTCAGTATCCGTGCACTGGGAGGGCGCATAGCCTTGAAAGATAGGGACTGCCGCAGCACCACTCGATTGAGCGATAGTGCATTGGTGAGTCTCTATCTTAGACAGGGTGGTGACAAATGCGGTAAGGGTGAGGTCACCTGGGTGCTGACTAAGGAAGTGGTCGCGAGCAGTGGCTAAGCGGTCTGGAAGGCGCATGGCAATGAGGTACAGGGTAGCGTAGAACAACGGGGGGAAGGCAGTGATCTGAGCGTCAGTGCTAGTGACGCGGTAGCTAGCCTCTAGTGCACGGAGGTGAGTGGCTAGGTCAGCGACAGTGGGGAAAGCAGCAAGATTGGGAACAGTATGGGGAGGATCAGGCGGCCAGCAGAGGCGGAGGCAGGCATGGAGTAGTGCTCAACTACTACGTCTAAGAAATCTTGGGCATTCGCGACAGTGGTGAAGCAGGGATGCTCAGACAGGGGAAGAGCATGACTAATGGCTAGATGCGCTACGGCATCGCGGGAATGCCAAGCAGTGCGAGCAAGCACAGCAGTAGATAAGGCCTCACGCTGAGCAGTGGTGGGGTCAGCGGGGAAGCTAGCCATCAACTCGCATAGCCAGGGAGTGCCTGTCCTGGTGCTGACTTGTGAGGTGATGGCGGAGATCGACAAGCCAGGCGGCGAAGTCGATCGCGTGCCCCTCCACGTCCAGGCGGAGTACAGCGTCCGCCATCGTGCGACCTCAGCGACATAGCTCCACGGTGGCATGGTGATACAGCGACATAGCTACATAGCTACACAGCGGCACAACGACACAGCCACTCGGCGGCACAGCGACACAGCCACTTGGCGGCACAGCGACAAAGCTACACAACGGCACAGTGGCGCGGTGGCAGAACTCTCCGGTAGGAAGACCGAGCGGGGATGACAGGGCCAGTAGCACGTAGAAGGACGGGCTGGGGCTCATGGGGCTGGCAGAGCGCGAAGAAGGCCGGCGATGAGCCGGCGAGGCGCGAGAGGCCGGTGGGGCACGATGGGCTGGCGGGGCTCTAGAGGGGCGGCAGGGCGCTAAGGGCCGACGGGGCGCTAGTGCCAGGCGGTGCACGGAAGGGACCAGCGGGGCGCAAGGCCCGGTTGGGGAGCAAGGGGGCCGGCGGGGCGCATAAGGGACCAGCGGGGCCGGCGGGCACGCAGGGAGGGGGGGGGGGGGCGGGGCGCGAATGGCCGGCGGGGCGCTAAGGGCCGGCGGGGCGCTAGGGCCAGGCGGTGCGCGGAAGGGACCAGCGGGACGCGAGGGCCGATCGGGGCGCAAGGGGCTGGCGGGGCTCAAGGGGCCGGCGAGGCGCTAAGGGACCAGCGGGGCCGGCGGGGCGCTAAGGGCCGGCGGGCACGCGAGGGGGGGCGGCGGGGCGTTAAGGGCCGGCGGTGCGCTAAGGGCCGGCGGGGCACAGGAGGGAGCAGCCAGGTGTGAGGGCCAGGCGTGGCGCTAAGGGTCGGCGGGGCGTGTAGGGGACCAGCGGGCGCGAAGGCTGGGCAGGGCGCGAGGGGCGCAAGGGGACCAGCGGGCGCGAGAGGGGTCGTTGGGACACTAAGGGCCGGCGGGGCGCTAGAAACTAGCGGGGCGCGCTAAGGGAATGGTGGGGCGGTAGTCTAGGGCTCGGGCGGAAGTGGGTGGGCGGACCTAACCTACTATGATACCATGTTAGAATAGCAGAATGACTAGAACAAGTGAGAACATGGGAGATATACGGTTGGAGTTGTACCCTCTATGAACACAAACCTATCTAGCCTATAACTTCTACGTGTAAACATATGTATAAGTTGACATGTGCTTGCTGCTGCTGCGGCTGTTGCTGCTTCCTGTCCTCTTCAGGACCTCCAGTTGCACCTCAGCTAACACTGGCACTCCTTGAAACAGCCCTTGTCGTTTCTGAGGTTGCCGAGCTTGCGAAATTGCAGATTTCAGTCGCGAAAGAGCTGGGGGTCTAACTGTGGGGTTTCGCCTTGGGCATGGTAAGCGTTTCAACGTGCCCAAGCTTGCCAGAGGGCACATCGAAAAGAGCGATTTCATTTTATAAAGCCAACCACGATCGTTTGGGCGAACATTTTTCTCTCTCTCTCATTTATGGCGTCATTCTGGGTATTTTTTTCCTAATTCCTTTTCTCGGGCGTTTATGGTCTGCACGAAACAAGCTGTTCAAAGCTCGTCCAACCTTTGGAGGCAGGTTGTGTCAACTTATACATACATTTGCATGTAGAAGTTATAGGCTAGAATAGGTGTGTGTTCTTAGAGAGTACAACCCAAACCCTATATCTCCCTTGTTCTCTCTTCTTTCTATTCATTCTAGTATCCTAACATGGTATCATGAGTAGGTTAGGTCCACCCATCCGCTTCCGCCCCGCACCCTAGCCTACCACGCCTCGTCGGCCCCTAGCACGTTTGCCGGCCCCTCTCACGCCCAGCCAGCCCCTCTCACGCCGTAGTCGGCCCCTCGCGCCTAGTCATCCCCCCTTCGTGCCCAGCCGGCCCCCTCTCGCGCCGTAGCCGGCCCCTCGCGCCGTAGCCACCCCCCCACACGCCGTTGCCACCCCTTTGCGCCTAGCCGGCCCCTCGCGCTTAGCCGGCCCCTCTCGCGCCACAGCCGGCCCCTCGCGCCTAGCTGACCCCTTTCGCTTAGCCGACCCCTCTCGCGCCGTAGCCGGCCCCTCGCGCTTAGCCGGCCCCTTCGTGCCCAGCCAGCCCCTCGCGCTTAGCCGGCCCCTTCGTGCCTAGCCGGCCCCTCTCGCTTCGCCGGCCCCTCTCGCGCCGTAGCCGGCCCCTCGCGCCTAGCCGGCCCCTCTCGCTTAGCCGACACCTCTCACCAATCCGGCCCCTACCGCCTAGCCTGCCCCTCCTGCGCACCGCCGGCCCCACGTGCCTTGCCAGCTCCTCTCTACTCGCTGGCCCTTCCCACACCTGCCCGGCCTCTCACACGCCTGGCCGGCCCCTTGTGCACCTCGGCCCCATGCGTGTTCGCTGGCTTTTCACGCGCCCACCAGTCCACTTGCGCCCTCCTCGGCCTTCCGCCCGGTATCCACTCCGGAGAGTCCTACCGCCACGTCGCTGCATCGCCGTGCAACTGAGTACATGTGTCCCTGTGCCGCTGTGTCCCGGTGCTGCTGAGGTTGCGCGATGACGGATGCCATGCTACGTCTGGACACGGAGGGGTACGCGATCGACTTCGCCACCTGGTTAGTCGATCTTCGGCGGCACTTGACAAGTCAGCGCCAGGATGGGCTCTCCCTGGCTATGCATGTTGATGGCTTGCTTTCTTGCCCCCCCGCACGTGATCCCCTCCCTGCTCACCCCACCACTGCTGAGCGTGAAGCCTTTGCTGCTGCTGCGCTCGCTCGCGCTGTTTGGGATTCTCGTGATGCTGTAGCGCTGCTCGCCATTAGTCATGCGCTTCCCTTGTCTGAGCGTCCGTGCTTTACTGCTGTCGCAAACGCCAAGGACTTTCTAGATGCCGTAGTTGCGCCCTACTCCACACCCGCCTCCGCCTCTGCTGGCCGCTTGATCCTCCCCATGCTATTCCCCAATCTTTCCACCTTCCCCACTGTCGCTGACCTCGCTACTCACCTCCGTGCACTAAAGACTAGCTACCGCGCAGCTAGCATTGCCGCCCAGCTCACTCCCTTCCCCCAACCATTCTGTGCTACCCTGTACCTTATTGCCATGCGCTTGCCTGCCTGCCCGTAACCACTTCCTTAGCCAGCACCTTGGTGACCTCACCCTGACAACCTTTGTCACTGCCCTTTCTGAGATAGAGACTCGCCACCGCACTATCGCTCACTCGAGCGTTGTTGCAGCGATCCTTACCCTTCATGGCTGTGCTCCCTCCCAGTGCACGTACGCTGACATTTCCGCCGTCGTCGCTACAACTGCTACTGCCACTAAGACCGCAACGGCAGCCTTCCCGCAGCAGCAGCGACAATGTCGGGGCCGCTGCGGCCCCAAGGGAGGGCGTGGTGGTAGTACTGGTGGTGGAGGTGGTGGGGGTGGAGACAGTGGTTCAGACGAGGGGGCTGGGGCAGGTGTCCAGGAGCAGCAGCAGCCGCAGCACACGCAGCAGCAGTAGTCGCAGCAGCACCCGTAGTAGCAGTAGCAGTAGCAGTAGCACCAGCAGCAGCAGCAAAAGCAGCCGTGGGCCTGCCTCCCGACTGGTGGCCAGGAGCCCCTGGAGGTGGTGGCCAAGGTGGTGGTCCTCGCAGCTCAGTGTCTACTGGCAGCTTCGGTGCTGTGGGCTGCCAGTACAAGCTCCAGACCGACCCCCTCCGTCGCACTGTATGCCGCCGCCCGCACCCGACTGCTCGCTGCTTCCGCCGCCTCGACGACCTCTTCTGTCGCCGCTTCGGCTCGGCCACAGACCTCCCTGACTGGCCCAGTCTGCTGCGCCACGGTGTGCCTGTTTTTTACTTAGACATGGATCAGATTAGTTCTGTTCTGCATTCTCTGTATGCTGTCGCTTCTAGTGTGCCCGGATCTTATTGCCTTGTGATTCTCTAGCTTATGCTTAGCACTTGTGTGTAGTACAGACACCCCTGCTGCGTCAGGCATAGGACTGCTTGCTTTCTCTAGCCTAGGCTTGACCCTTGCTCCTCCTTCGTCCGCCGCTACCGCTTTGCTGTCCTTCACACTTGACTCCGGTGAGTCTGCTTGCTTCTTCCACGACCACACCACCCTCACGCCGCTTGCCGCGCCTACTGCTGACCTCTCTACTGGTCCTGTCGTTGCTCGCAGCTACACTACACTTTCTGGTTCCCACTCCTCCGGTAGCCCTTGCTCCCCTCCCTTCCCGTCCTTCTCCCTCTCGTGTGTCCCACATCACTCCCCTCTCGTTGGTTGTCCCGGTCGAAGAGTCGGCTGACTCAGGTGGCCCCGCAGCGCCGCTCTCATCGCCTGCCTCTCCCC